CAGGCAACTGGCCCAGTACAATAAATGCCAGCCCGGCAATTGTGTTCACTTCTAGCAGCCAGTATCCAGCAGTTCAGAGAAGTATTCTGAGATGAGAAGTTTAAATAAAGATAAGGCCTACATTAGTTGTGAATGTCCCTTAGGAAATTCATGTACTTAACATGCTAAATTTAACGTGCAACAAGTTTTCTGTCCTTGACCAAACTCCAGCCAGACTCTCTCCGCACTTCCTCGACCAGCCCTCAGCCTTGGCCTGTCAAGACCTGAACAAATACTAACTTTTTTTAAGTCTCTAATGGCTCAAGACCACATCTCTAGGATGACTCCAGCCCCCATCAAAGTTCCTGCCTGAGAGAACGCGAGGCTGCCAAAAGAATGGACTCTTTGTTCCGGCCAACACCTGAAGACAGAGCGCCTGACTCCAGCTTCTGTGGGAAGGTGGGAGCCTAACTTAGGTGTGCATCAGTTAACAAACACAGATGGGTTTCACACGGACCAAGCCCCCCTTCTTGACTTGTAATTTTTCACTTTTCTGTCTCTGATGGGTCCCAGTTCAATTCCCCATTTCCTCTTTCTCCCATTAAAACACCCAGTCCCCCCTATAAAGCAAAGACATAATGACTTCACAACGGCTTCTTTTCCCTATTGCAATAGTATGCTACCGCATAAAATCTGTCCTTCCTGCCTGAACCAGTGGCCGTTTTGCGACTAGAGAGCAAACGCCGCCATAAATAGTATGTAAATGCATCAGAATAGTTGTGTTCAATAAAACTTTATGAACACTGACATTTTAATTCCATGATCATCTTCTTTTGATTTTTGGAAAACATTTGAAAGCCCATTCTTAGCACACAGGCTATACTAAAACAGTGAGTGAGCCAGATTTGGCCCACAGACCATAGTTTGCCAAACCCTGGCATAATCTATTTATAATTTTCTTTCCTTCCTATGATTAGTTTTCAAAGTTCAAGATCATTTGTTAGTAAGGGTGTTAGATTTCGAGACTGTATTTTCAACAACTCAAAGAAGGCTTCTCAATTTTCCTTATTGTGTCAAATATAGAAGCAGTCATTTTAAGTCCGTTGCTTAAAGATAAGTTTCTAGTTCACCAATAAAGCATATTCTCTCATAGCCATAATTTCATGGCAAACTCCAAATGGAATGACAAAGTAATATCATTGATGTGTGTGTGTGTGTGTGTGTGTGTGTGTTTGTAAACAGAAAATGAACATCTGGAAGGGTCCATAAGCAGAAAGTAAGAATTTCCAGGTCATGCATTTAAAGTACAAGTAAGTTTCACTGCAGCTGCCAATCTTTATCAATTTGGATAGCAAGAAGATGAAATTCACTTGCACACAGAGACGGGGAGGGGTGGTGTCCCTGAAATGGATGGTACATAGTCTGAACTAGACATCTTCCCACCCCGGAACAGCGAGTGACTAGACTTTCGCAGCTGTAACTAGCAACCCCTGGGAAACTAGAATTAAATATTCCTAAAACAGGAATCTAGTTCTGTTATGAAACTGTTCATCATTTCACCTCCTGACAGCCAAGAAAATCAGCAGAAGTCAGAAAGGACTCAGATGATGAGCAAGTAGCATTTTTAATAAAATTCAAATCCAGGGTCTTTGGGAGTTTTTTGGTGGTAGCCTCCAGAACTCACTATTCTCAACAAGATTAATACAATTACTCGGGTAAAAAGAGAAGAGAAAGGGAAAAATCTGACCTTTTGCATTTGCTTCTTTAACTTCCCTTTTCCCTAGGAAATATTAAATTCTGAATATGGTAAAGGTAAATAATAGAAATGCAGCAGGAGTCTCTAACAGGGTTTACATAAAAATCTGAGGCTAATCTACAAATATAGCATACTTTATTATAGAGATATTAGCACTGTTCTATGCCACAAAATACCTTGTGCAACTACAAGACGATGTAAAACACAGCAGCCCCTAAATTTGCCTACTAATACAAGAAATCATCTACATATTAATAATTGGGATCCAGTCATTATCTCCAAGTGTGCCTTTTTGCTTTAAGAAAAGAACCGAAGTCAGGCTACTCAATCCATGAAGGCGTCACTCAGTTTAATAACACCCCTATGAATTTGGGGTTTAAAATCACTTCCCTCAGGCAAAGGGGACATAATCGTATGTTTTTCTACTGAACTGCATTCTTCTATAAACATTTGAAAGAGTGCATCTGCTTTACAAGTGAAATAGTCGATACAAAGAGCAGTAACAATAAAAAATATATGCCTATTTTTATACTATTACTGGTTGATAAGGCAATCGTCTGTAATGCTCTCATCTACAAGGATGGAAAATGATATATAACTGTTACCAAGGCAACAGAGAAGTAAAATTGCATGTAAACTATCAAGCAGTTTAATAACCACAAAATTAGAAGAACAAGAAAAAACATCTTCAGCCAGAAGTGTGACGCTCTGTGTCACCCACGGTGCATGCAAGCAAGGGGCACAGCTCTAAGAGATGATGTGAAAGGGTCACAACTTGCCAGCTATTCCAATGCCTGGCAGCATTTTTTAAAACGGTGATAAGACAGCAATGGGTTCTTGAGGGGCGAAGTGAATCCCGATTTTTTCACATGATTAAAGGTGCACAGGTTCTGGGAACAAATGGTTAAATGTAGGTACTTTGAAAAGTCAAAACAGGCTTTTATTAATTCCAGTGCGGATTACTATTCTCTTGGAATTCTCTGTAATTACCAGTCTCTTTACTCACAGATAGGACATTTAGCAAATATCAAGTATGCTTTCTATAGCAGGTGCTTTCTGAATTAACATTTAGAAACTCAAGTTCGACTCATTAGGAACCAGAGGCAAGGCTGAGGCCTGGGGTAACTATGAGCGTTCACTTCTAAACCGAGAGAATTTTAAGCATTCAAGTAACCACATAGATGCTAAATCCTTTAGGAAGATTATCCATCCTGAAATCAGGAAAATCCTGCAGTGTAAGCACTTTCATACTCCACCTTTGAGAAAAGAACTTGATTTCTGTAAGAGTTTAAAACACACACACACATAAGACTTTATTCCTTCAAGGGCAGAAACAAACATCGTAAACATGTGTTTCTGCGTGCTCGTGACCCTCTGAGGCATTTCTGGTTCAGCTTGGGGGCCACCATCGAGCTGACACCGAGAACAAGAAGAATTCCTGTGGCTGGGAGATTTCTTAATCAGCACATAAGCTCAGAACATGTGCCACTTCTCTCTTTAGAAAAAGACTCTATTTGGATCACATTAAGGATAGAAAGTGAAAATCACACTCATTTACTAAATTTTAGCCTGTCTTTAAAATAAGATACGAGTCCCCCACAGCCTGGCTAGTTTTGCAAGAGCTCAGATTTGTGAATATCATGAAGGCGTCCCAGGATTTAGTCAAATGAGTAGAAAACATCTTTTCACTGACACACAGAATGGTCCTTTCCCCAGCTCCAAGGCTTAAGGACTAAATCGGGCTCTAGATGTTCCATTAATTTTATTGCTTTCTGGCATCTGAGGCCACCGCAAAACATCTCGGTTACTGTAAACTAAACTCTTGGTTGAACCTCTCTTTGCCTTCGGCAGCCTCTCTGCCCATCACAGAGGGCACTGCTGTTGTTCTAAACAGTCGCCCATAGTTTTCCTCCCACCCCTGCTTCATTATCTGACAGCTCTTTGTGAGCCAGCCTGGGGCAGAAGATGCAGGAAGTTACCAGGGCAGAGGGGTGAGGCCGGGCCCTTGGTGGCAGCGGCCCGAAAGCGGTTTGCGGCCGGACATCCCTCTCCCTTCTGATCTGCCGAGCAACACCTCTTGGCGTCCTGTTCCACAGACAGTTTCCCCACCAAGCGTCTACCTCACGGCTTCCCAGACCAAGTCGGGGCCCTCTCCCTGGGGGAAATCTGCTTACGACATTCAGACGGCCTCATGTGAAAAGCGAGGGACAGTGGAGACGGGCCAGAAGAACAAATAAAGACCTGTGGATGTTGCAGAGGCACACACTGCAATGGCAACATCCAAACCCAACGTTTCGGAAACGGCCCGAATGTCGCTTAGTAAGGCCAACCTTTCAGACTCGGGCTCACTGAGGCTGATGTAATCTGCACAGCCCACTCTGACTCGAAGGATGCAGGAGACCCAGAAGGGTCCTGGCAAGCGCTACTGTCATCCACCTGCAGGTGCAGGGCTGGGGCAGCAGGCTGGCCCTCCCAGGAAGGTGAGATCTGCTCCCGCAACACTTCTCACCCCAGGCTCTTCCCCACTCGTGCCACAGACCTCACGTCCTGGAGGGGAGACTCTGCAAGCCTGCGCAGGGCAGGAGACCGGAAGGCTCTGACCAGGTAACACCTAGGCAGCGGCGAAGTGGAAATGTTCCTCCTCTCTCAGCCCTGCCCCAGAAAGCTGCCCGAATTAATTATTTTTCTTTGGTTTCACCAACATGGCCACTTGGAGAACACATTTCTCAACCTCCCAAGGTTTAGGGCCACAGTCACCCGGAGAAAGGCTAAGGGCTTCTGCCTCCATGCCCCCGACATCGAGCTCGCGGCTTGGGCCAACCGCCAGCCTGACTTCTGGGGGGTGGGAAGGTCTAATTTAGGGGGGGGGCAGGGGGCCACTTTCGGTCCCTGTTGCTCTGGGAGGAAATCCCCGCTGGAAGCACTTTCCTGGCGGCAGCGACTACAACCATCTTCTCAGCCCGAATCGCACATGTGAGCCCAAGCGGCGCGGGGCTTTTCCTACGGGAAAACAAACTGTCGTGAATGTTGGTGTGTGCGTGAGGGCGTGTGTTGGCGTGTGCGGTCTACACTCGCGGAAGGCACAAGCCCCGGCGGCCGGGGGAAAGAAGTTGGCGGCGGCAGCCCCTGACCCCCGCGTTTCCGTCCCATCTCCAGCCCGGCTGCGCGCTTCAGCTTCTGCTTCTCCTTGAGCCTCCTGGAAAATAAAGCACCAAGTTGCCCGCGGCGGCGGCCCTGGGTGCCAGGGAAGCGGCGCAGCCCCTACCTCGAGAGCTTTGCAATCTTCACAAAGCTGAAGACATCCATGCAGGCGGCAGGGGGCCCCGAGCGCGGCGTCTCCGTCGCCCCTTCTCAGGCCAGTAACGGCAGCCCGGGCAGCCCCATGGCCGGCCGGGACCTCAGCGCGCCCCGGGGCTCGAGTGGCGGCGATGGCGGGTGGCGGCGGCGGCCCGGGAGAGACCGCACCTGGAGGCGGCGGCTGCTACCCCCCTCCGGCCGCGAGCTGCTTGTGCATCCCGAGCAGGACCGGGGATGGGCGCCCGCTCCGGAAAACTCAACCGAGAGGGGGCCGGACTGGGTGGCAGGGGCGGGGGCTGCGAGCGCGGCCCGGGTCGTGCGCCCCGCCCGGCGCGCCCCGGCCCCCGGGAACTGCCGAGCGCCTTGGGGAGAAGAGGCCCCAGCGAGGGGCGCCGCTCCTGCTCCTGATCCTCCTGGTCCTCCGGCCCCGCTGCCCCACACGCGGAGGAGCGCAGACTGAGCCGGGAGGCGGCGGGCGAGCTTGGCACACGCGCACGCACCCCTCGCGGCACTGCAGCTGCCTCCCTGCCTCCTTGCCTGAGCCGAGTCCCTGCTCCTCTCCCCACCCCCACCCGCGAGGGAGGGGGCTCTGCTGTCACCCGCCGCTTGTGCCTCCAGATCCGATCTAACAGTCCAGGGCACACGGGGACCGGGAACGCTACTCCCTGCTTCCCCACAGCGAGGGCGAGCGCGGCCGCCGCAGGTTGCCCGAAGCCTTGGTATGTGCTGTAAACAAAACTAGCGATCTGGAAGGGGCAGGGAAGACGAGGCTGGATCTCTCCTCCAAGGCAGGGGAAGGGAAGGAAGACGCCTGGCGGAGCGGGCAGGATTTGGAGAGCGCAGAGTTTCCACTGCCTCCCCCAACCGCTGGAGCAGGACGTGACAGCTGGGCTGGCCGGGAAGGTGCGCTGCTGGGCAGCGCAGCGGGCGAGTAGGAGAAACAAGAAACCACCCGCGGCATTGGTGGGTGAGGGGCCGCAGCTGCTTCTTCCTAGAGAGGGCTGGAGAGACGAGGGTCCCGGGAGCCAGAGGCGCAGACGCTGGTCTGGACGGGATTGCAGCTACAGGCAGAGAGCCGGAGAGAATGGGGGACCGGCGGGGAGAGCCAGCTGCTTGCTCGAATTGAGCGGTGGGTGAAGGAGGAAAAAAATAAAAAAAATCCTTGCTCACAAAACAAAAACACAGACACATAAACACTCACCTGAGACAGAGTAAACTCCAAGTTGCTGCCATTTAGAACTCCTCGCCTTCTCTTTCACATCACTACCCCGGAGAGCCACCCCTCCTCATTAACTCGGTGTCTCCTGGGAGGCGCAGGGGGCTTTCCACCCCTTTGCTTGTTATTTCTCTTGGACTCTCAAGGCCTCTTCTCCCAAATCCTTTAAAATTTCTCCCCAGACTCTCTGAAGATCAGACGGCTGCACAAAGTGTGTGTTCTCCCACCCAGAAGCTTTCACCTGATGGCAGGGAACCGCGGAAGAGAAATGCCCCCCTCCCAGGCAATGTTGGAGGATCTGGCCAGTGCGCTTCTAGCTCCGAGGGGATTAGGGGAAAGGAAATAGGTTTAAAGTTCCCAGACTTCAGCTCCTAGCCTGATCTGTTGCTGTATTTAAAGTCTCTAATATTCAAGCCTAGTACTTCCACTTTTTTAAGGCATTCTTGCTGAAATTAAACATGAAATCAGGAGCAGTCTGAAAAATCTAAATGATTTGAAACACAGGCATAAAATGACATTATTCAAAAAAATGGAATCAATTTCCCTTTAACTTCCTATAGATAGGCCAGTTTAATTTCATGAATGGGGGTACTACTCATGGATCAGACAAGACAAGAGGGGCCTTGGCTTTTAAACCCCCCCCCCCCAATTTTGTGTGTGTGAAAAATTATAGTTTGGATCTATCTTGTGCTTGGTAATTTTTAAAGCACTTTCACATTTGAGTCTCACAGCCATCCTGTCATAAAGTAAGGCAACATGTTTTCAAATGAACAATCTTGTATTTTTATGCCATAGTCGACTGTCAGTGTAGCAGACAAAGAGATGTGTTTTCAACACGGCTCAGATTCAGACTCCACACTCTCTCCACTCTCCTAGAGCTAAAGCTGCACCCCCCCCATGACCAGCAAGTACAAAAAGCCTGGCCCTTGAGCTGTCTGAGCTCCTCTTTTGTGTCTCCCTGTCCCTCTCCACTCATTTGCAAGACCCCCACTGAGTCCTGGTGACACCGCCTTGCTGCTCTTCCTATTCTGCAGCTATCCTCCTAACTTGGCTCTTTGCAATGGTTCTTCCCTCAACCTGAAAGCTCTTCCTTCACATATCATCATGGCCAGCTGCCCATCGAGTCTGCACAAATATCACTTCCAAAAAGCTATCTCTGAAAAGCCTATTTAAAATTCCAAGGCCCCACACCCTGGACTCCGAGGTCCCATTAACTGCCTTTTTTTTTTCTTGTTTCCATAGCACTTATCAACCCACCAGAGCATTATATAATTTATTTTTATGTCTCTTGTTTCTTGTTTCCTGTCTGATTCTCTTGCTGGAATCAAAGCTCCACCGAGGCAGGGATTTTTGTTTTGTTTTGTTTTGTCCACCAATGGATTCCAAATGCCTACAACAGTTTCCTGGCTGGAGAAGGACTTTAATAAATATTTGTTGAATGAATGAATTTTATGCTCATGAGATTTGCAGCCAAGCCAAAGCTGGATACTGCTTCCTGTCTGGTCCCCTCCCCACCACTTTTCCACTCCCAGCATCCCTCACCCTCTTTTGGATTCCTAAGGATGGCAATGAAGGCCCTCTTATTACCCTTCTCCCTTTCTCCCTGTCTCCAAGAGTGGGACTACCAATACCCTCCTTCATCAGGAGTCTACATCTGGTAGCACAAGGCCAGCTCTTGAATGAGAAAGGGAGATAAAGCAATGTCTTTGGATAATGTGTTGTGAAAATTTGCTTCCTTCTGACAATAGAATAGTCAGGATGCCCTTTATAAAAAGATAACCCTATTAATCAAGAATGACTCCAGATAGCACATAAATAGCTAGTTATTCAACTGTGAAACTGACGGGAAATAGGCATTGTGTTTACTTGTACAGAGACAGTCTCCCTTTAAGACATCTGGTCTACCTGGAACGGCCTGCTGTTGGGCTTCAATCTGTGCCAATTTGTGAGCTACGGTTATGAATGGTGCAGATGCTGACTCTCCACAGCCTAACAGCCACCAGGGGAAATGACTAGCTTCTCTAGGACTTTATATTATCCTCTGGCATATTAATTATCTAGTGTGTTTTCTAATGGGCTGATACCTTTTTCTAAAGCAAAGAGATTCTCCCCCTCCTCCTTTGTTTTTCATTAATATAAAAATGCAAGGGAGTCTGTTCCCTTGAAACATGTTAACATGGCCAGTTTATACCTTTAAGCCCTCTTGGCAGATAAGCAAAAATTTGAGTAGCTGGTCTTTCAGCTCTGTTCCCTCTCTCTGACAGGTGTGTGTGGCAAAGGTTGGGATAGGTTTCTTTGTTTAGCATGAAATGGATCTGCCTAAAACAAACAAAAACCAATGAGTGACATTTGAGCACATATGTAATTTTCTGAAGTTTTATCTTCAGCCCGGATAATCTCTAAGGCCCCTTCTAGATCTTGTAGAGATTTACTCATTGGAAACTGTATTACACAGCCCTGAGAACCTATTTAATTTGCTTTACCTGAATCCAAGTGACATTTGGTCATTTCTTAAAACCAAACACACTTTCAAACACTATTGAATGTGCTCATGAATAACAGACTCAAGGGCATCAGCTCCCGAGCAAGTCATTTAACTTCCCTGAGACTCAGTTTTCCCACCTATAAAATGGAAATGATACCTCACCGAGAATGAGTTCTTGAAGGGAAAACAATTCTGAGTGGTGTGTGTATGAATTGAGGCACATGGATATTAACTCCAGAAAGATTTTCTTGAGCCACTGTAGTGCTGTTAGGAAGTTTCAGCCTCTAATCAAAGCATTTGCTTTGATTAATCAGAGTAAGTGTTTGCCTAAAAATTAATCTCATTGTTGCCTGGTCAGTCACTAAAGCCCTGCATAGTAGTGCAGTTTATGATTGGTGGAGACTTTTGTGGGGGGAAAAGGGAGAGATTTCTGCATCACTGTTAAGGCTTCTCTCAAACTGGTGTCAGGGATCTGCTATTTGACCAGATGTTCCATACAGGATGGCAGCTGAGGGTTCCTTGCTGCAAATTACAGTAGACAGAGCCCCATGCATTTGTCAGTTGCACCAGGGCATCTTGACCATCTGGTCACAGTCTTGAAGACAGAAGTACGTCAATAAAAGCAAGGTATACATTAATTCAACAAATATTCGAGGCATTTATCCAATGACCCCAGACACTGGAGACTACATCAGGCAGCAACATGTTTCTGTTCTCACAGATTTTACATCTTAATAGGGAAAATATATGATAAGCAGCAAAATAAGAAAATAACATAAATAAGAAAAAAGCACATGATGGATGGGCAGAGAATAAGTCATTTCAACTGAAAGTAAGTGATGATGACTTTTGAAGATCCAATGATCAAGGAAGAGCTCTCTAAGGAGGTGACATTTAATTTGAGATATGAGGAACACTCAACGTGCACATGGACATGCATCCCACGGAGAAGGACCAGCAAGGACAAACAGAAACAGAGCCCCTTAGCCAGGAACAACTGCTCTATGTTTGAAGAATCAGAAGGTGGCTGGTGGATCTGATCGGTATTGTGTTCAGTGGAGTGAGAGTGGGTAGATTTGCAGAGTGAGAGCCAGGGGCATGATCATGGGGGCACAGTAAGCCCTCTGCCTTTTCCTGTGGGGTGTGGACACACAGGAGGGCCAATGTCATGGGAGTAGCAAAATCAGATCTATAATTGGAATGACCGTTCTCGAGGGAAGTGAGTACAGAGGCAGGGAGACAATTCAGGAGCCTGCCACAATCATCCAGGCCAGAGATGGCTGTGGCTCAAAAAGCAACATGACGAGGATGTGGGGAAATGCAGCCAGGCTCAGGTTGTTTTGAACAGGATTTGCTCATGGATTGGAAGTGGGAGCTAAGGAAAGGGGGGATCAAGGGTAATTCACTGATTTATTCTACACAGAAAGAAGACCCTGGTTCCCTTCACTTAGTAGTGAACACATAAAAGCCAGAAGGTTTTCCCTGCCTCTGTGCCCATGCGCTCTGCCTTCCCTCCATTCCCTCAGTGAATTCTCAAGCTCCCGAGGCTGACCCCTTGATGGGTGGGCTGAGCCTTGCTGGCCTGCTCAAGGCCCTGACTCCAGCATTAGCCCTCTCTCCTCCAACAGTGTTTTGTTCTGGACTCCTGGATCATTCCCATGTGCATTCAAACATGCTGCTCTTTATCCTATCTTCCAAAAAAATCGTAACCCCTACCCCCATCTTACTTCAGCTGAGTCCCATTCTTCAACTTGTCTGTAGAGTAAAATTTCTCCCAAGAGTTGTCTCTATTTGTTCTTATTCATTCAATCTTGAGTCTACTCCA